AATTCATTGCGTCAACCTTTAACTACATTTACAGCTAGTGTTTCTTTCAAACAGGGATGAAAGCAGAAAATGAACAAATCGAGCTTGACTAAGCTAATCGAGCGCCAAAATGAGCGAACGCTCTTTTCTAGATTAGGTGACTACAGCTTTCCTAGTTTTTGCCTTGTAATTACTTTCTATGAATGGAAGCATCGCTTAAAGTTTTCGCCGTCATAAGTTTGAAGAAAGAAACGCTTTCAGGATTCAGATTAGGTACTTGCCTGCATTTCTGGTTTTGAACCAGGCTTATCGGGATTGAAACGATAAATCTCGAAGGTTTTTATTTTTGGTTGTTCAGTCTGCGCTGAAGCGGTACGATTGGCAAGAATAAGTGCACCTCCACGAGCCAACAGTGTCGAACGAGTAAGCATCTAAAATGATACAACTCTAAAATTGATACAAAAGGTTCTACACCTCAAGAGTAATTATTCAACTGTATAGAAAGAACTGAAAGTTTCAAGAAATCAGGACTTTGCCTGCCTTTACTTTAACTTAGGTTATCCCAGTTCCTTTCGCTTTCTGAACGTAGGACCGGATATCATTTCTTTCAGGAGGGAGAGAAAGAGTAAAGTCACTATCATTTTAATCCTGGAATGAACTTCGTTAGCAGATCGCATAATTTGATTGCAACGCTGTGATTATGAAGTTTGCTTCCTTCTTGAAAGTTTGAAACAAATTTCCTAGTAAAAAGTCTAGAAAGCAGAACTTTTAGTGAGCAGTTGCAATCTTTAAAGGAAAGTGTTGCGAATATTCACTTAAATTACTAATTATTAACTTCTTTTGAGATATCTCAGTATAAATCAATGGTAACACAGAGTTTTTGGCAGAGACGAGCGTGATTTAAACAAAAATGAGTTCCCAAGGAGCAAATCCGCGCAGAAAATCGATGGCAGCAGTGTGTCCGGTGACATCCGCAAAACGTCGTGAGATATGCATGTAATATCACGACGTTTTGCATAGATGCATGGATGTGGAGAGTGAGAGACTAAAATGAGCCTTAAGTCTGAATATACGTTCTGCTGAAGAATCTCAAGAAAATCATTTACATTAATCATGACTGCAGAAACAAGAACATTAGCAATTAAATAAGACCAGCAACAAAAGTGTTGACTTCTGATTGCAGTAAATTTTCAGTTTAACGAAGGAAAACAATTTAACGGGGGGCAGGCGTTATGGAGCAAAGGCTCGCCGCAATCCCTTGTGGTATATCCTGAAGACCTTACGCGCT